ATCAAGCACAGCTTTCGCTTGTCGGATGATAACTGTGAGGTCTGAAATATGAAGTTTAATTTCTTCCCATCTTGCATGTTGGTCCTCATCATTTAGGTTGTCAATACCATATAACAAATCCTGTATTGCAGGAAACCCATGTGATGAATAAGAATCATACTTGCTTGGTGCAAAAGCAACATTTCTGAAAATATAGAAATGGAAATTTAAAAACTGATTATATATATGTGAGTAAGTAATAAAATATCTTTGTTTAGCTACTAAATGTTACGTACAAACAGTATAATCAAATGTTTAATTACCATAATATATATGCATTTAATAGTATTTATACTTCATAAGAGAAAAGCTATGCTGTTAATAAACAGTTTAGAAAATATGCTTATTCATAAATAACTTGGTGCCTATACATCTGGATGGTAATTTTCTTAATACAACCCCTTGCCTCGTCCATTTATTGGTCTATAAACTTCAAAAATCTTAATCTGTTACAAGTAAATGTATAGGTTTTTTAACTATTCTTAAATTACACAGGCCTGCAATGGTTTTATGTCTTAAAATGTTTGCATGTTCTACAGTAATTCTTGTACACGAATACAAAAATGATATCCATTTTTCTCCATTACGTACAGATGTTTCACAAAAGGTCATAACACAATACATAAAAGAAATTAATTTGAAGTTGAGCACAATGGGCTATCTATGCTCTGCCCACCACGGGTATTGAAACTTGAATTCTAGCATTGTAAATCCACAGACATGCCACTGGGGGGGCCATAAAAGAAAGACCACAACACCTAGTTTTGAGACTAAAAGATGTAGATTTCACAAAAAAAATGAGGATGCATATTCATTTAACATTAATGTTCTTTCCTCAGTCTGTTAGTAAACATAATAATAAAAAATGTTCATTGTGGTAAACAAATTAATAATTTGATCTAAGCAAGTTTGTTTTCTTCCCAATTTGTACAAAATCTTTATGTGACAGAAAAAAATCAGTATTATTTTTGAAATCTGCGTAGCTGAATTATTGAAAATCCATTATTAAAACCAAAACATCTTTTATGAAGTTTAAACTTGTAGGCCTGTGTTATTTTATCTGCAATTCATTGTTTTGATCTTAAAATACACCCTTATTTGGCAAGCTGCTAATAATAATATACATATTTACTTATAGCCATTTCCTAATTGCATAACTACAGGAACAAAATTAAAAGAGGACACAAAACACTTTTCAACCATCTCTAGAACAATGAAGGATAAATATCCTTGCAAGACTGTGGTTTCTCATTTGATCCCATAAATTATTTTTTCACTGTTTTAAGAATACAACTTTTGTATTTTTCTAAAGCTGACTGTACAGCCTTATCATTAAAACTATAGTAATGCTGATCATTTAGGGTTCAGGCCTCCTTTATTCGAATCATAATGACATCATTCTTCAACAGTTTGTATATACACCACAAAACTTTATATTAACCTTTTCAGTGGTTGTTCAGGAAGTCCATTAGGTTTAATGAAAGTTCTTTCCACAAGCATCATTTGATCATTCACTTGACGAACCATCAAAGGACTGAAAAATGAAAATTTATAACTTTAAATATTATTTATGACAAACAAAATAAAAATAACAAAAAACTTGACAGTCATTACAAAGCATTCAGCAAAAATTGGAGGAACCACACACACACACACACACACACTTGGTTTATTTTAATACTTCTGAGTGAAAGTAATCCATTGTATATTTTTTCTCTATTTGATCTCGTTCAGTTCAATATGTAACAAAACAAAGCATACAAAGAAGTGTTGTTAGTTAGAAAGAAAGATAAAAAAAAAATATTTTACCAGAACTATCTTTGAGCAAAAATAATCTCATGCTTAACATCAGTTGATAGTAGACTGGAATTTCTACTTATAAATAATTACTATCTTAAAAATTAGGTTAAATCTTACACTGTAACAAACACAACAATACATGTCAATTTGCAGAATATTCAGATAAGGTACGAGGTTATCAGTTTACCTAAGAGATAAACATTGCTTGCAGTACAGGCCATATTAGGTTCACTTTAAGTAACATAATAACTAAAGTAATCTGCTATAAAAAACTGTTTGATATAAATAATACTTATTCATCAATCTCTTAAAATAAAAATCTCACATGTCTGAAAAAATCAAAAAGAAGTACTTAAAATACTAAGTAGTGTATAAAATTTAAGCACTTGAAGAGACTTTATTCATAAAAACTAATTCACAATGAATACTTGATTTCTTCACATAAATTGCTGTAGTGTATTTCTGTAAGATCACACATATTAAGTTATGTAACAATTATTTTATCCCATTAGTGTCACTTTTCTTCCTAAAACCTTGATATTTTTTCCTTATTATTATTTTCTTTTGTTT